ATCCAGGCTCTGAGTTTGTAGTATAAATTTCTACAAGGTCATAATGATTAGGCTTTGTGCTTCAAGTATTTTGTTCATGCATAGTATTGTATTTTCAGATGTTTTAGAATTTAATATATGTGTTTAAACACAGCATTAGGTGTAGAGTGTATAGTCTAGTTCTAGGTTATTACTGGTCTATACCTCTAAAGTGAAATACACATTTCTTCCATTTTTATAGCAAATTGTAAATCTGAGAATATAGTATTTAAGTGACTCCACAAATAGTTGGAATATGGAAATAAAATAGGTGAAGTACACATTTGCATGTTGGCTCAGAGCACTGGATGTGAATATGAAATAAATCATCATTTGCAGTTGCTATTCATTTCATCACAAGCCAGCTTTGGAGCACATAAACCAGATTCCTTTTGGATCTGAAGCTCCATTTTAGGTGGGCACCAAAAGCATAGGGTCCTTCTGGAAGCTGGAAGTTGTGAGGAGCATGTATGGAGGGGTGTTTGGTAGAATAAATAAGTTGCTAGATAGTGCTAAAAGTTCAAGCCCACGTATATTCTAAATGGATTCTAAGCAGATACACTGCTTTTGATCTTCTGATCCATTGCCATTGCACTAAGTTGTAGAAATAACTGATGTAATAGCTAATACAGACATAACTGTAAATTTTGATAAGGATGCTAGCATGTTTCTGCAATGAAAGTAGAAAACCAGATTAACTGTGGGTTCCATTTTAAAGATTTGTTTGTGATAAAATCTAATTATAACTATATTTCTGGAATACGGGCTGTGTCTGGCTACTGATATTTTGCTTGCTGGGATGCAGTAAATGTTCTGGTTAGTGTACTTGCCTGATAATGCTGTGGCATGGTATACATAGAGTGCCTTTTTTTGGAGTACATTATGAGAAAAAATATCTCTTAGAAAAGTTTCAGTGAGCAGTTTGTCCTCACAGTACATAGACCGTGGGATGAAAATGTTGATGGAGCACTTGTTGAACTCTGGTGTTACAGTCTGTTATTATCCATGAGGGCATTTTCCTCTGTGCAGTGCTCCCTAAGAAAAAGGACATATAAAACTGACTACTGATGCCACACAACACAGGAAAAGGCAAAAGTCCCTGTGTATGGCTTTTTTTTTATCATCTCACTTAAAGGGTTGACATTTTATGTTTTTGTCTGACATCTTAGAAGCCAGCCCTAGAATAGCACCTCAGTTTGCTCTTACAATATACTAAAAGACTATATTCCTATATTTTCCTTGTTCTATTCTATTTTCTTTGCCCTGAAATACAGGAAATGGAGAATGTCAAGTCCTCAGTAAGCATTTTCAAAAATCAGGCTAAGCTCCAATTACACAGACCTTATGACAACTTCTCATGTGTGGTGGAGGAAGGAGGGAATATTGTTAGAGCATGCTGCAGTTCATTAGTTTTTAGCTGCTAGATGATCCCTGGATCCTGATGTTATCTGATTTACAAAGAAACATCTAGATTATTGCAACGTGAGCCAGGAGCTAGAAGAGAATGACAGTTGTAAATATTTCTGTTGGCCCCATCTGTAGCACCTATCAGAAATTCAGCATGAGAGCTAATCTTTCCTAGGTAAATTTGGTAGTTTCTTAAGCTTCCAAGTTCTATTTTCCATGAAATGTTTTTCTGAAGCTTGCAGTGTTGCCATTATAGTTACCCGAAGGGAAAAAAAAAATTATTGCTTTAGTTTTGTCACCAGGGAAAATTAAAACATGATTATTGTATAATTTAATTCCAAAGAAAATATATTCAAAGATACTCCTAATGAAACTGTAAGTACTGTATATATAAACAGACAGGTCCTACAAATTGGTTGCAGGAACTAATTTGATGGTTCTCTCTCTGATAGAGCAGACCCAGGTAGTAAATCATTATTGGTTGCCTAATGGGAACATCCTACTGTGAAAATAAACAGCTGTCCACAATGAAGAAACTGTTTACAAGAAACCATTACATGTCAGACAGCCCCTTGAGAAAGAAGGGAAGACATGAAATACTGAGCAGTTGGTTGATTTTTCTGGGCTGTTTATTTAAAAAAAAATAAAATTGTATAGCTTCTTTTTGCAAAGTTTTGTTTTAATACTCCATAAACACAATCCTTTTCCTTGTATTGCCACTTAATTTTGCTTGGAAAGAAAGACTGTAACTACCTCCTGCATGCCTTCCAATAAATTTTCCTTCCAAGAATGTCACTCCCAGTTGGTTCAAGGCTGCTTGTGTGGGACTGTATGAAGGGGCAAAACCTGGCTTTCAGTGAGCTACTACTGAATAGGGTCAACAAGAAGCCTTTCCTATGCAAAGACCAAAACCTTGCTCATATAACTTGACTCCTCTGCTACCCTCTTCTGCATCTTTGAAGTGTGCTTAGACTGAGCTGAGGTGAGTATCGACAAGGCTTTGAAACAAAATAAACTGGTGGGCAGATAATTGCATTTCTTACCATCGGCACCAATCTGCATTTCTTATGATGCGTCCTTATAGTGATCCCTCCTTGAGATACTTCTGTATCTGCAAGACTGCCTGGTTTCACTTGCAAGGCTTTCACGTGCTAGTTAGCTCAAGGGCAGCTGTGCTAAGGACAGCCACACAGGCGCACAGGGAGGGAGTGACAGAAAGGCAGGGGCTGCTGAAGTATGGAGGAGTTTGTGTTCCTTATAGCTTTAGCTGTTTGTCAGAGACAATCATTCTGTTTGTTTCTCACACCAGTGAGTAAATAAGTGCACTAAGTGCACTTAGCTGGATTCATGTGGAGCATTTATCACGCTAGAATTAATTTTTTTACCTTCCTATATGTGGTGCCTGTATGCCCACATTTCTTGACAGTAGTATAGTCCCTTGCTTGGTGTCTCCCCAAACAGAGGGCAGGGGTGTCATAGAGCAGCTCTCTGATTCCTCAGTAAGGGAGGTTCATTGATGATTTCCTATCTGTCCATAGCAGGCAGGAAAGAATATGAGGCACCTAGGGCTTTTGAAATGCTATCAAAAATTCTTCAGTATCAGTTATGTTATCATGAGAATTCATTTTCAATTCCTTTCTAAGGCTGTGTAAAAATTGTTTTCATACATTATATTAGCACACATTTATTACTTTATGAAATAAGTTCCTTCTGATCCAGGCTTTCTGTGCACACTTCTGATGATTCAGGAGGAACTCATCTGTGTGGTAAGACTGCACACCTTTGCAACTGACAATTTTGATGTGATACTTTTAAAAAGAGTTGGACATTTTTGTTTCTGTGACAGGGTTCACTCTCTCTGGTAACACCAGAGGTTATCTACAGGATGTCTCAATTTTGGATGCCTGCCAATCTGCCATCTGAATTTTTGTTTATACTTTCATTAAGTGCTGTACCAGTGTTGCTGAAACATTCCAGCCTGACGTTGATTTTAGAAGAATAATATGTCAATCTGTATTTGATTAGAAACTTTGATTAGAAACCTCGTCCAGTTACGTCATGTTTCTGCAAGAAGAATCCTGCAGATTTCCTAGAATCATTCATGCTGTGAAAATATCTGTAGCTGGAAAGGCCATCAAGTTTACATTCCTGAAACTATTCCCCTTTATCCTATAGTATCTTTGTCAATGTAACTGGGTATTTCTTACCTTTCAATATCTCTGTTACCCATCCAGGTTAGTAGGACTGAGAGAGAGAAGCTTCTGTCATGGCTTTCACGAAGCCATTTGTGACTTGTGCAGAGGGAGGAGCCTATGCATGTACTTGTAGAAGTTGGTCAGACAAAAATTCTCCAGCTTAAGAGCGCTGCTTTTACATATTGATGTTTGGGTTTTTCTGGAGTGGATTTCTCCACAGAGTGGAAGCACATATTGGAGACAAATGAACTTGCTTTCTTCTGTGAACACTGCAGGCTGTCAGTTGAGGCCCACAGACGTGAGATTTGACGTCACTGTCTTGATGCAGAGCTTCAGATGTAACAGCACATTTAGGAGCAAGGAGCACATCTTTGTAACTCACAAAGAAAGGTGCTCAGTAAATTCAGAGGCCCTGTAATAACCAGCATAACCATGCACAGACAATGACGCTTTCCCCAGAATCTGAGCTAAAGTGTTTCTTTACTGATACAATTCTAAAGGCCTGAAGTAATGTGGAGTTTTTTTGCCTTCTGTCATTCCAGGGATTAGGTACTCTCACAGCTGAGAAGCTATTTCATAGTCCTCTTTCTCCTCTGATCTGATTTTCACTAACTTTAAAATGATCAAACAGCATTAAGAACATTTAGAGAAGGTAACAATGATATTTTATGTCCTTTTATGGTCCTTCAGAGTGCCATAAAATGATAAGAGGAAGATATGTCCAAAGAGCAGTTTCCCAGGTACATGCAGGTGTGCAGGTATTTTTAAGCCAGCTGTAGGTTATCTAGCTGAGGTACTGCTGGAAAGGAATCTGCTACAGTGCAGAACTCTATGGGGGATGCAAATGTTACCTGAGAAACTGAGCATGTTTTCATGTAATTAGTCCTTGCTGGTCAGTGACACTGATCACAATGTTAAGGAAAGTCATCAATGACGCCTATTAGCATGTTCTAAGTTCACATGTGTTTGTATAACATGTAGAACTTGGTCATATGTGTTAGGATTCTCCAGGATGAACTATAATGCAACTAGAAGTTGCATTATAAATCTTCCTTTCAAGTTACCCCTGTTATAGTGATTATATTTGTATTCACAGTCAGTAATTCAAGGTAATAAAAGTAAAATATTTGTGCTTGGTTTCCACCTCGTTTTGTTTAGATACTGAGAGAATGCTGTATCTTGCTTTAACATAGACTGAATGTATGGGGTGAAAAAATAAGTGTAGATATGCAATATATTCCTTAACAAATATGTTTAAATTCTATTATGTTTGGTAAGTTTAAATACTGTTCTGAATAACCTTCTGTTTTCAAAATTCTTTTTTATTTTAAAATATATGAAGTATTTGTAATTTCACATAGATGTTATTTTTATTCACAGATAATGCACCCCAGGTAGCAATTACCGCACCAGGATCTGGTAACCATAGAAACAGCTCTACAGGCCCAACACCTGACTGCTCTCCTCCATCACCAGACACTGCACTTAAAAACATAGTGAAAGTCATACGTCCTCAGGTAGGTACTCACCATAAGCATCCTCTCATTTGTTGTATTTCTCCTTTTAATGGCAGGCTCTGATGCATGTATTCTAAGAGGAAGTTATGTCTTTACACATTTGAGTAAGTCAAAGACATAAATAGAACACAAAATACCTTGTCTTAAGAATCAATCTTAGTAGCAGAAGAAGATAACATATGATATGAATGAGTCCAAATGTACAGAGTACATACTTCTTATAGCACTGATGACAAATGAAGTCCTTATGCAGTATTTCATATTTTTGCATACTGTTACTTTTCTTTTAAGGCTATGTGCTGAATTTATCAGTATTACTTCCATAGTACTTTTTCAGGTTTACTCTCTTATTTCTGCATCTCCATTTGCCTGGAGTTTTATACCTTTTTATTTTACTTTCCCATATAGTACTGCTTATGGACTTCCATTCTTTCTAACTATCCATCTTTCTAATGCTGGTTGGGTAACAAGATGCGTAATGTGTGTAAAACTTGAGTGCTCCATATACTTCTTTAAGGAGTGCATCTCTTTAAAACCAAAACTTTAAAGTAAATACATGTTAGAACTTGGATCAGTGATACAGAGTTAATCAGCATAGAGTAGTTTATTTTAGAACCATGGGCTCATGGTATAAGTCAGAACAAACCTGATCTATTTCCTTGTTTAAAAAGCCATGACATTAGGTGTGCCAAAGCTAGCTTGGACAACTACATGCTGAATTGACTAATTGTGAAACTTTCTTAGTGTTAACCAAAAGAATTTAATCTCCTACTAATTTTGGGTTCAAGTGCAGCCATCTGTTCTTTATTGCTGAGCTGATCTCTGCAGCTGAGGTACTCTGATGCTATTGGATGCAGGCTTTGTACCATCAGTCACTGGCATTTGCTTTACTTGAGGAGTAAGCTGATGGACGTATGATATTTTCCTGGGAGTTGTATAGGCCAGGTTGTTTTGGTACCACACAAGTGACTGTGTCCCAGTGTTGGAGGTGAATCTCCCTTTCAGTACTCATTGGAGCACACAGTTCAGAAGGTCTTGCAGAATTAAAGGTAATTGCTAGGTGCACTTGCCATTTCTGTCTAGGAGCCATTGGCATCCTGTGGCTGACACTGTCACTATACAATAATTCCATTGACAGGTTGGTGCATCCCCTTCTGACACCAGCATAGTTCAGGTTCCACATGGTTTAAATCTAGATTGCAGAGGGTCTAAAATTACAGTTTCTTCTATTTTTTCTTTTTGTAGTTGTTTCTCATTTTGTTTGTTTCTGTAGTGTCTCTGTCCCTCCCACACTACACCAGTCTATAGTACTGAAATGCCTCCTTCCCTCCAAGCTGTTTTTTACAGTAGGCGGCAAACAAACAGAAAGGTAATGAAATGTTGTTGAAACAAGCTGTTGTGTGATAGCTTATTTGAAATAGCATTTAAAAAGCTGTTTCCATCATGATATTGCCAACAGATGGACCCAGAACACTTCATGGTGATGTTCTCCTGCTAGTTAACTCTGAATGGATTCGGCAGATTCTGGGGAGCTATTTTCAAATTTAAATTATTCCATTTACTGAGTCACAGTGTTCTCATCGTTCTGCAGAACAAAAGCTAGCTCTGTGATATATATGGTCAGAACTTTACCACATTTCCTAAAATGTCTCTCACGTGGCCCTACACATGGCATGCTCCCTGTACAGAAAACAACAGCAGACAGGCATAATGTATGTTATAAGTCCATGTGCTAATACAGGACTAGTTGGATACACTGTAGCATTCAGATTCCATTATGCTTCTCTCTTATTCATGTGTTTTATGCACATCCCTCAATATTCTTTTTTTTTTCTTTGTTTTTGTTTTGTATCTAATCACCTTCCCCTAAGACCTCAACCCAAGAATTTAGACAAAGAAGTTGTACATATTTGCAATGTGCTCTTTGCTAACCATTAGTGTTCATTCTGCCTGCATATTTAATTCTTTTTTTCCATTCAATTACCTGGCAAGCTCTTTGAAGGGTAGCACAATGGGATTCTATTCCTGACTGACCTCTCACCATTCATGTAAAACTAATGAATATTCTTACACAATGTATGCAAATAATTAATTTTCTGTTGGCTGCCAGGGCCTCTTTGCATTTTTCTAACAAGATAAATTGATTTATAAGAGATCTAAACCAGGGATCATATAGATTTCCAAAACAGATGTCACTTCTTTCCCTTTTTCATGTCTTGTGCATCCAGCATGAGAAAGTGCCAGTAAAGGCGGAATGGGAAACTCTTCAGCAGCCAGCTTTGCATGAGGCAGGCTCTGGCAGTTTGGATGGAATTGCCAGGGAGGACTGGCCTTTCAATACATATAGTTATTTTAATTTATAGCTTTACTTATCTTTCCTGTAGGGTTGTACATATAATGGTTTACCAGCAGTGAGCAGAAGACTGTCTCTATGCAACCAGGACGAGAGGACACAGTCTTAAGGTGCATTAGAGGATGTTTAGGCTGGACATAAGGGGGAATTTCTTCACAGAAAAGGTGATTACACACTGGAATGGATCATACCTGGTGGAATGATCATCCCTGGACGTGTCTGAGTATTAAGTTCAGTGCTACAATACCACCCACCTCTACTACCTTCACTCCTGAGGCTGGCAAACTTAACAGTATCTTGACCATCTCTGTGCACTTTTATCTGTACACCTTAGCTATGGCTCATCCCTCTGATCTAGTATTTTGCAAATAAATTTCTTCTTTTCAAATTTTCCCATGGTCAGCCTCTGAAAAAAAAAGGGTTTTTGGAAAAGTTGCATATATGCAGAAAAGAAGTAAACAGAATTTAGTTCAGGCCTGGAATTGCTTGGTCTTTTTTTTTTTACTGATTGTCCAGATGAGACTTACTTAGTTTTAAGCTCTTGAAATGCTAGTTAATGGAGAGTTTGAGAAAGCAATACTTTTTCAGATTAAGGACATACGATATTCTGTATGCTCACAGCACCTGTGATCCATAATAAGGTGGGATAGGAGAACAAGTATATAAGTCTCCTTCAAGTTTTAAGTTAGTTACATTAGTACACAGAGTAAAATATAACTTACCTTATCAGGCTGTTGTTTTAGAAAGTGGTAGTAAAATTGAGCTTGTTCCATCACAGTTCCTGTAGCTCTCAGTCTGGATGAAGCCTGAACAAAACTAAACTGCTTGTGATGCTTCATGCATTTTTTGTATTAGCTACTCAATTTAATAAGCTTCTCCTTATTTATTTTTTCATCTCCATTTGAAAAATAAACTATATCCACAGAGGGAGAAAGAGCACATTTTTTCCTCTGAGACTGTTTCTTTAGCTGGTGTTATTTACTTGTGGGTCTTGGGCCAATTCTCATAAAACTGAATTCTGACTTCTCACCTTTAAATTTATTTATTAAATGCAGTCCAGCATTGGCATGTTGAATTCTTGTCTTTTTAAGATATATTTCATATGGCTTACTTTAGGTACAGCTTTTGATGTCAAAATGTGGATTATTTAAAAGCGACTTTATCTATCATGAATTAGTATTTTCCCTATTTTATGTGAATAACCCAATTTCCTTAAAGTGTTGTTTCAATGCTGTTAAGAGGGTTTCTGGTAGGAGGACGAAGGAACAAAGAATTTCAGTGTTTCTGACATGATGAAATTTCATAATCTTGTTCTTTCTGGTTTTATTGCTAAGATCTGAAATTGTCTATTCATCATAATATCTTTCTCTTTTTTCTTATCAGCATGGATGCGCTGTCTTTACAGGAATAATAGTTTTGTTTTTCCCCAGTATTCTTATTTTAACCTCTGTAAACAAACTTGCAATTCAATCTATGGCTCCTCATTCAGCTGGCTAAGACATCTATGGATATAATAGCAGCTAACAGCTTAAACATTAGCAGGCAAAAGTGTGTGTCTCCTTTTTCTGCAAGTTCTAGCAGAATCCTCCAGGACATGTGTAGCTTCTGATAGACCTATCCCACTTGTTTAAACTATCAAATGCTTTTGCATGCAGTGTGCCTGTCAGACCCGTGTATATGTATACATATACACATATGTATATGTACATTCATCTAGGCATAGGGAAAGACAGGGACCGTGACATTCCACTCCCTGTGTCAGCCTGGACATGAATGGAGAGACCATCTGTAGGAGATGTGTGCTCCAGAGCCTCCCTAGCTGACTTAAAAGTGATAATAATTGATATTCAATGAAATTATTTATCATTCTTTTTTGCAGGTAGGTGCAGGAGTTTATTTGAACACAAACAAGCAATCAAAAAAAAATCATCTTAGAGGAAACTCTGGAAAATCACAGTTCCAGAAAATAAATTTTCAGACCTAATAGTTCCATAAGCAGGATTTTCAAGTGGATTAGTGTCACTGTTTCCCTATGTTGAAACAATGAAACTATTTCTGCCTGCTTCCTCCCCATGCTAGCACCATGCTGTGGTTTCCTTAGCTGTTCACAAATGAAATGCATGCCTTGTCACAGTTGGCTTGGCACGTCCCTGTCTCTGCCAGCTTAGTGAAATCCCTGCTGGAGGTTGTTGCACTAGTGCACAACACCATGAGAACACTGTGTTGCATCTGCTGAACTTGTTTTGCAACACACACACACACACACACAAAATCTGTTTTATTTCACCACAAAAAGGAGGGCTGGAGAACACTGTTATGCAATAAATTCTCTCCACTCTGAATGAGATCACAGGACAGTGGCAATGCAATGACTTTCTTTCTCCTATGAGCTGCTTTCTGTGCTTAGCTCCTCTTAGAACATGCCCAGCCAGGCAGGGAATAACCAGGAAAATCACTGTGAACACTGTGCAAGCACACAGTGCTTCCTGTTCAGGTGCACTTCTTTTCATGCTGTATTTTGGTGCTGACTTTGTGCTTAGCACAAGAGGCAAATAAGACTTAAAAAAACCCACATTACTGAGTTATGATTTTGTGGGGAATCAAAGCCATCATATCCAAGGTAAAGGCCACTTCTGTGTACATGCTT